TTAATTTGTACATATTGACATCAAAAATGTGTTTATAACATAAAAAATTGTTCTTTTGAAACTTAATTTGTATATATTAATATCAATAATATCGTTTTCGGTACACGAGTATTAAAAATTGAAAAATAGACCAATATTATTTTTAGTTCAAAAAAAAATATATAACAGTTTGACGATAGAAATTAAATTAATTTACTTATATATAAATCACCTACGTAGGATTTACCAAAATTAATCGTTTTAAGAAACTATTGTTGTTATAAAATCATAAAATAGATAAAATAGATTTCATTTACAAAGTAGAAAAACTCATTTTAACTTCAACTTTACACGTAAAAATTACGAAGATTTGCTCAATATTCCGGATTTTTCTTATTTATAATCAATTTTTATTTTTATTTAATTAAGTAAGTATCGTAATTAATAAAATATTAGCGTGTAATTAAAGCTACGACCCTCTGATCGGTAACGTTTCTACCATAAGGACATAGTAAGATGTTTCGTTTTCGACTACGAGTGACGTCAAATAAGCAACCAATGAGAAGCGTTTCTTCTCTATGAGGCAACCTGATAAATCTAAGACCTTGGTCGGATCGTTGATTTACAGTATGGATGGTTCCATAAAACAAGTTTAACCACGTCATTAAGCAGGAAAAAATATAGAAAATTAAAAAAAAGCACGGGAAAAAATAGCAAATTTACGTTTTAAAAATGTTTTAGTTTTAAAAAAAAATTCAATATAGGCACGTTTTAGTTATTGTCCACGGTAACCATCTTGTTTGCGCACGCACATGTGCAAACAAGATGGCGACCGGAAGCGCCGCCATTTTGGCACCGTAGGTAAATTTAACCGACTTGCTTTAATTTTTTACGCTAGGGCCACTGAGAAATTTTGTTACATGGTGGGACTCGCGTCCTATCTGGACCTAACCTGCTTTGTACCGTCATGCTCTAAGTGCACAGGTAAGATTTCCTCCTGTACACAAGTGCCATACGCAGATATCTGTTAGCTAATTCAATTTATCGTATTTTTCAGGCGTGACGAAGAAAGAGCCGGCACCAGCGGATAGGTTCGGATCCGTCTACCTCAGTGAAAAACTACAACCAAAAAAAAAAAAGAAAAATGCGCAGGCGGACTGGCGGGTCATGTTCACCGGTACCCTCTCTTGTACCCACAACACACTTTTTGAAAGAGCTCAGCTCTCAGCTCAACAGGTATGATATCGTGGCAGTATGCCATACTTAGTATATATTACATTTTTCATATTTCTTCTCTTTCTTTGTTCCTTTGTCTTTTGCCATTCTGGAATGTTCCTATTTAACCCTACCCTTGGGAGTTGATGATTCACATCTAAGATAATAGAAAGTAATAGCCCTAAGGGGTTAATATTTTTACATATATTATGTAATATTGTTTAATAACTTGCACATTATATTATTATTGTAATTATAGTAACCAATTCATCTGCTAGCTTACTACTAAGGCAACTGCTTTTGATCTAACATATTTTTAAGAAATCTTTGGGGTGAGTTAAAAAGACTTTCTATTTATTCTTGATTTTAATTTTTTTTCCTTCATTAAAACATTGTTTTGAAGTTAGTTTACTTATGAAATAATTATTTGATTTCAGAGTTATTTAGATAGAATCAGACTTTATAAGTCGATGATATATAAAAATTTCTGAGTCCAGAAGTAATAATCATCTTTTTAGATAACAGTTTAGAAGAATGGTACCTTTTTCTCTATTTGGTTCTTACCAGTTTATTTTTCAATCACGAATCAGAGAACCCACAGCTATAAATTTTTGTCTAAAGACCTTCAACTTTCCTTTTATAATATAAATGCATAACTAAATGCAGGGAAAAAAATGAAAATAAAAAGTTGACTGAGTCTTTTGTCTTGAAGTTCTCATATATAGAATATGTACAGAAATTTCTGTGGCAACTAGCATTTTACCAAATTTATAATTACCATGTAATTAGATTATTTACATAGTAAATGAAATAAGTTTAAAAAATATATTAAAAACTTTTTAAAAATTTATTACAGTTCTGTTATGTTGCATTTTAATTCTTAGCTAAATATATTTGAGAAACTTTGTTAAAGATATTTAACAAAGTTTCTCAAATAAGAACTGGAATTATATCAAAAGTGCAGATTACATTTGTCAACAGTGATTTTATTAAATAACAATTATGAGTGTTTCCTGATAATTCAGTTGTGCTGATTACAAATCTCAATTTTTCTACTTTACTTATTTGTAACAGATTAAACCCTTTATCTGTAATTATGCAATAAACCACTTTGATTAATCAGAATCGTTATTTAAATAACATGGAAACACTTCAAAAACGTATGTAATATGTTGGTTATAAAACTTCATAATGACTTTTACTTTTGAATTCTTTTATCTATATATCCAGTCTGTCAACTAATGCCAGTACTATATAGTCCAGAGGTCCCTGTTTCTGTTGCACTGAAAACATAAGATGCTTTATTAGCATCTTATTCCTTTAGATAAAGTATGCTAGTAACTAGTGAAGAAAAACACCTAATTTCTCTGTGTTAATTGACCCTGTTCTAATTAACCAGTCAGAATTAAATGATCTTGTATATGATCCTGACTTATACAAAAATACAGGCTAAATTATTGGGTTCCAGATTGAAAGGATGGAATTTTTGTTAAAAAGCCAATATATCATCTTTCTCACAAAAAAAAACAAATTAAATATATCACCTCTGACACTCTAAAAGCTAAAAAAATTAAATTATATAATATTAAGAAAGACTAATAGTAATATCTCTAGTATGAAAATTTAATATTCGACAAATTTCACGTCATCAGTAATATGATCATAAATCAACGTAGTCAGCTTTCACATGTCACAGGATTGTTCCATATAATGCGTTATAATTCGCGAAGATATATTAGTATACAAATATAATATACATGAAAATGTAGAAAACAAAATTCTCTATTTAAATAGCATATAGCCGTACAAAAAATATGAAGTTTAAATGATTTTACTGCGATTTGATCGAACATGATTTTACAAGTCATTAATGTAAACAACAAAAACGAATTTTTTTCGAAAAAAGTAAAAACTACAAGCGGATAAAAAATATACCAAACAAAACTACTAATCCTTGCATATTAACAATATTTTTATTTATATTTCTATCATAAAAATTTGATTTTATACAAATTTTTAAAATTATATAAGTATATTGACCCAAATGACCTTCAACCTGCTATGAGTTCTACTCTCAAGTTGTATAGCAACTACCTGGCCGCTACTTGAAAACTTAAGGGTTAAGCAAAGATACAAAAATGTTTTTTTTTTTCTTTTTTATGAAAGGTAACATGTATTTGAAACTTCCTAGCCAATTCCCTAATATACTGCTATGATGCTGACACTGTCATGAAGACATTTTAGTATTCAGTAAAATTTGAGAATGGTGACTTCTTGTAGATTCTTCTAAGAAAAGTATGAAGGCATCTCTGCTGCATAATGGAAACATGTATCCATCAGTTCTATTGCTCAGCACATCACAGAATCATATGAAAGCATGAAGCTTTTGTCTTGAGTAGCATGCAATGTTATCTCCACAGATGGCATATTTGTAGTGATTTAAAAGTGTTAGCTCTATTTTTGGGACTACAGCTAGGCTTCTCAAAGTTCTTCTGCTTTTTTGTGTCTGTGGATCAGCAGAGATTGTAAACTGCAATTCATCAAACAACAATGACTAAAGAAAGATTGGCTAACTGTTAGAGAGAAGAACTTAGTAAACAAGCCACAGTCTCGTGGAGAAAAATCTATTTTACACCTCTCTACTCATAAAACTTGGTTTGATGAAACTGTTTGTGAAAGCCATAGAGTATTGGGCAAAGGTACTTGAAGAATAAGTTCCCTACACTTAGTGATGCTAAGAACAGATAGGGCATATTTGTTGGTCTGCAAATACAGGAGCTAACGAAAGATTCTGAATTCAAAAAAGTTTGAATGAATCAGAGGCAGCTGTGTGGGCAGTTTCCTTAAGAAATTATGAAGAATTTTCTTGGTAACCATAGGGCAGATAACTATAAAGTGCTTGTTAGGGAACTCTTGTGGAACTACAGACAACTAGGTTGTTGCATATCTCTCAAAATTCATTTCTTGGACTCTCATCTGGATTTCTTTCACAGGAACTTAGGTTTTTGTAAGTGATGAACACAGTGAAAGATTCCATCAGGAATTAGCTATCTGCTGTTCAGCTGACTAAGCTGTTATCAACGTAGATGGAGTCTAAGACTACTAGATGACTACTAGATGACTACTGCTGGACCCTACAGACAGATGTTCTTGCAGTTAAATGCAGCAGGCAATCTACAAGGCATACATTTTAGTTGAATATACAATCATTACAACTAGTCATGTTTTCATTAAAAATGATTTTTTTTCTGGCAGAAAGAAACGATTATTACTTAAAAACTGAGCCCAATAAATAGAAATATAAAGTAGATTTGAAATCAGCAGAAAAGTTTTTATAAGAATTATTTTACGATTTCTTTTAATAGACATTGATTTTCATTTTGTTCCTCAGTATAATTAAGGAATATAGAAAATTCCAACAACTAAATAAGTTCTTTCATTTGTATATGTTTTGTATTGCTTATTTTGTTATAAATTAAATGAAATAATCGTTGTTATTTTTTATTTAAAATAAAAATTTTTCATAGTAATATAGTAAATATGTTTTTAAAACTTTTCATTTTCAAATTTTATTTTTCTATATTTATAATAAATTATAGAAAAATAAAGTTTGAACAATATTTAAATCATTATAATAAAATAAATTATTAATTGAATTGGAGGTATTTCTTATAATGTGTTTTATATTTTAATAGCCTAAATATATAGGATCATTAATGAAAGCTGCTGAATTAAGGAAAAAAGAATATGAAAGAAGAATAGAGAGACAAATTCAGAAAGAAAGAGAAAAAGAAGGCAATGAATTTGGAGATAAGGAGGCTTTTGTTACGTCTTCATATAAGAAAAAATTGTTAGAAAAGCAAGAAGAACGAGAACGTAGACAAAAAGAATTAGAAGGTATAGTATTTATTCTAAAACCATTTAAAATTCATTTTATTTATATTTATTCATCTTGAACAAACTTTGAAATGTTATCTTATATGTAATTATTTTAAGAAAATGAAGGTCACTTCTGTTGATGTTAAGAAAATAAATATGAATATATCAAATGAAAATATATGAATGTTTTTTATAATTAAACTATTTATCATCCTAATGTAATAAAATAATATAATAAAAAATTGTTTCATATGAATAAAAAGTTATAATTTTTATTGACACTAAATAGTTTAAGAAGCACTATTGAATTATTTTATTATATATATTATTATATAGATAGAAGTAAGTTTTATTTTCTTAGAAGCACACTGGATATTATGATTTCTATGTTAATTATGATTTTTCTATGTATATAATAAAAATATCTCTGAAGCCATCTGCAAATATACAGTATTTAGCAGTTGAAACTCACAGGCCTTGGAGTCACTTACTTTTCTTACCTTTCAGCTCATATTCTCACTTTTTTGGTTATTTCCACGTTCTTAATTAAGATGCGAGACCAATCAAAAATAATTTTAAAGCCAAACGATCTGTTGCACAAATTTATAAATGCTATAATTGAAAATTTTAAAAAATAAATATGGAATATACAATAGAACCATCAAAATTTATAAAATTACAAAAATTCTCTAAAAAGCAAAATAAAGTTACTACTGTATAAAAACTTTCCTTTCATAATTAAAGAAATTTTTTCATTACACATTATGCAGTGAATTCGAAATTTCACACCTTTATGTGAATTGAGGCAATACCGTCAATTCATATAAAGGTGTGAAATTTTGAATTCACAGAAACTTGTAAATGAGGGACAGTACTTAAAACTAATAAATAAACAATATTTAATATGAAAAGGAAACAAATGACGATATGTTTATCTGTTTTGCATTTTTAGACCTTGACAAATTTATTGTTTCACCTTCAGTGGTAGTTTCAAGGATAATGGTAGAAATAAACTAATGTATTTTGTTGCAAATAGAAATTTAATGGCATTTGGCAATTGAAAATTTATTGGCGCGAGTGCTTTTAAAATTTGGAGGGCCAAAAAAGCGCAATATATCCGAATCTGCAATATAACTAGTGGCTACTGTATTATAGTATATACAGAAATTTTAAAAATGTATTAAACCCAAACAGGAAAAAAAAACAACTTTTACTGCTATTTTGCTGAGTTTTCCTTTCATGTTTTTACTTTGTTTTGTTACTATTGCACTCACTTTTTCTATTTTTCTGTATTTTTTGTAATTTTTAATGCATTAAATACAATACAAGAACAATAACAAAAGCATCACAATATGATGATAAAATCTGTTTCTTATGAAAAGATCCTTTTTTTCATCATTTTCCTTAACATTAAAAAGTTTAAGAAGCATCAATGTTTACTTGTGATAATATTTGAACTTAGGTTATAATCAATCTTATTCCTTATTTCAATTTTATTTCTTACCAATCTGAAAACTCTGGGCAAAGTATCATGCAGTACTGCTGTGAAAACACATGTTCTGGATCTCAACACTCTGATTGTATGTGCATGTTAGTGCATGTTACAGATACATCGTCTATTTGTTGATTCACAGAAATTGAGATAGATAGAAAACTGTGACACGTGACTTGCCAAATTTACACATGCACAGATTATGTGAAATATGACTCTCACTGTTTAAAGACAAGTTTGTTAGTAAATGCATGCACCTATTCTATGAAATATAGCTGCAAAAGTGTAAAAGTTTGAAGATGTGTAAAAGTTGTGCAAAAGTGTAAAAGATTTTTAGAATTCCTTCTGTCACAAACTTGAATAGTAATAAAACATGTTTAAGTGCCTTCCATAAACTGTGCTTTTCTTCCTCTTGGAGGCATTGTGCCACAGAAAATTGGTTGCTGAGTCTGCTCTCCACAACTGTGTGGAAAATACTGCATAAATTATTGCATTTTGTTTAATCTTCACAAAAGATGAGTTACGCTCACTTCTTATGTACTTTTCTTGTGATGAAGCCCAAGTGACATTTGGTCTGACATTCTTTGTCGAATGGAACTGGATAATGACGATTGTGAAAGACTTACGGGGAAGTAATTTTCACTTAAATTAAATAGTGAATACCCATTTCTGCATTTGCTAAAGAATTTTTTTTTGCAAACTGTTAAAGTTTATTTATTGTATTACTTCCTGGAGATATTGAGAGGTGCTGAATAGTTTTGTTTTTCTGCATTTGCAGTAGCAATGGCATACTCATTTGATCATTTTTATAGAAGATAGAACACTCCCTCACATTGCTATCCTTAGTAAGAACAGTATATAGAGTATTTCTGTTGGTTATTTGGATATAATTTGTTTTGTACGTTGCATGGAATAGCAATATCTCTGGTGTTAATAACTCTGTGTATCATTTTGGCTGTTTGCTACTTCAGAAAGTACTACACATAATAAGGAATAGCATCATGGTAAAAATGTGGGTTTGTTAAAAAAATTGGATATAATTTGCTATGTATGCTAGTTCTTCATTTTTTGAACTGCTTCAGTCTACATAATTACTAAAATTTATATTCTTGTCAATAACAGGATTAAAAATTGTTTGATATGATTACTTTAAGGATATATTAGTTTTAAATGTTTAAATTATTTATTTAATTAAATGGTTAGATCATGATCTGTTTTCTTATGATTATTTTAAACAGGTATTACGTAACATATAATGAGTTTTTGTTGTCCATATTTCAATTTTTGCAATAAAATGTTACACACAATTAAGTCTGTTTTTTACATTTTTATATGTATACATTTTTATAGATGTACACAGAAGAGAATTAAATTAAAGAAATTATTAAATAATAAATACTGTGAATAGAATACCAAGGTAACCTTTTTATTAACATTGTTTATATCAGTTTTAATACTTTAGTAGTAAACTTGAGATGAACTGGCAATAATTTTCACATATTGTTTTATACTTTTATCTTATATTTCAGAGAGATGGATAATAAACAGAAAGGCATCTTTCTAATAAAATGCCTAATGAGCTTCATTGTAAGCCTCATTCTGTCCATTTTATATTGTCATAGAATTTTAAACTAGATTAAGTATTTATTTATTCAATTGTAGAGTTGAATGAATCTCTTATTACTCTACTTTAAATTATGTTTACTATAAATAAAGATAGATACTATGTATTCAAATGATAATCACTAAATCAGAAATTTCAGTAAATAAAATTATTTTGGATGTTGAGAGATTAATTTACACAAAAGTGACTCTGATTATAAATTTGTTTATTTTATTATTTTAAAGATATTCAAATAGATTACATAAAATTTATATTATATTTCAGAGAGGATGGATGTAGCAAGATTTAAGTGGATATTACAGACACTTTTTAAATCAAACTACCGGAGAAGAACAAAATTCATCGATTCGAAAAAGAAAATTTAGAAGAAATACAGAGTCATTAATTCTAACGATTGTTTATCAGCTAGATACTTGACTGTCCACTGCTATCTGTGAAGCATAAGCGCAGAAAAAAATTATTTGTATTAAATCTTATTGCTTATTCTGAAACCGTGTCGTCTTTTGTTTGTTTTTTCTGTCACAACTAGGTGCATAGTGAGACACTGGGCATTTTTGACAACGATCTTTATTCGGAAATATATTCTGGGCCGAGAAGCGTTTCGGGCATACATCCGTCTTCTGCCAGCTACATAATAAAGCAATAACATGAATTTTTCAAATTACAAAATGTTTTATATTTTGATAGGTTACAACATACCATTTCTTTTTGAGATATCCTGTAAGGCAGTGTTATCTAGTATACATCTTATTTAAAATTACTTTTATTTATGGTTAAAAATTTTTACAGTTAAAATTTTCCGGCTTTTCACTGAACTAAACTTAGCTCACTCTTGTGATATTAGTGTTTACAAGGATGTTATTAATCTATTTGGCATGATAAAAGAAAACTTTTTTAAAACATTTATACAATAAAATAATCTCTCTATTACTATTGGGTTGTTCGGAAAGTAAGTTCGTTTTTTTTACCTCTCTAGACGGATTAGTCGTATTTTCCCAACCATTTTCATTTTAAACCGTATTATCATATATTTTGACAGCTAACATTTTAAGGCTTATTTGTAAAAATTTTGTTTGATTTCGTGCAATTGTTTATTTTTTGTCCCATCAAATATGGAAGATCGAAAGCAGCATTTTCGGCATATTTTGCTCTTTTATTACCGAAAAGATAAGAATGCTGTTCAAGCGAGAAAAAAAATTGTATGACGTGTATGGTGAAGATGTATTGACAGAACAACAGTACCGAAACTGGTTTACAAAATTTCGTTCTGGCAATTTCAACATTGAAGATTCACCATGTTCTGGATGGCTAGTTGAAGCCAATGAAAACAAAATAAAGGTACCGATAGAAGCAAACTGCCGAATAACACGCGAAATCATCAAGACATTAAATTTGTCAAATTGAACTGTTTATGATTACTTGAAACAAATTGGTTTCGTTTCAAAGCTCGATATATGGGTTCCATGTGTTCTTAGAGAGATATGCTCTCTTTGGTGGGATTTTAAGGACATTTTTTCGGAGCTTTTACCAGACAATTTAACAATTGATTCGAAAGCGTACTGCCATCGAGTAAACAAATTGAGTAATATCAAACAGAAAAGGCGGCCAGAATTGATCAACAAAACAGGTATAGTGTTTTACCACGATAATGTCAAATTTCACACAAGTTTGGTAACTCGTCAGAAACTGTTATAATTTAGATGAGACGTCCTATCACACCATATTCGCCAGATCGAGCACTCTCAGATTATTACTTGTTCTGGTCTATACAATTTTTTTTAATTGTAAGACATTTACTTGAAATGACAATGTCAATAAATCACTTGAATCAGTTTTTTGAACAACCCATTATTATTATTTTTTAAACCAATTTTTTGTGAATCTTTATACTTAATGTTTATTATTTTTTTTACTTTTATAATTTCAAAACTTTAAAATTTCTGCTGTACCAGTTTTTTTCTTTGTGTAAAATCTTTATTTCTTTGTTAAAAGTTGTACTTATATATATTGTATATTTATTTCTTTGTTAATATTGCAATTATTTACTGTGCAATGTTCGTAAAATACTGAATTCACTTTTCTACATTTCAAATCGGCGATGTTCTTTTAGTCTTACCCCTACTTTCCTTTTCGTTTCTCCTATGTAATTTCAGGTTTTCACAGGTGCATGGTATGTGATAGACTACGTTTGCTATTCTATAAGTTTCTTCTATCTTACTGCTTGCTCTGTTCAGGCTTTATTTTTTGTATTCTCTTTTGTAATTTTTAGTAGGTTGGAGCAAGTTTTATTTACTTTGTTAAACTCTTTATTTAATTCTTCAAATAAATCTTTGATATAAGGGAAAGCTACATATTTTATGTTAGCACCCTTGTTTTTATGTTTGTTTTGTTGATGATTATTGTTGATTTTACTTCCCATTTTTGTATTATTCTATTGGGGTAACCATTTAATTGAAATGTCTCTCAATTCTTTTAAATACTTATTTTTATTCTGCGCTGTACTTGTTCTATTTATAATTTTTTTACATTTCATCCATTGCATTAAAACCTTATGATTATGAATACATTATGATTTTTTCAAAATTTTTGAATTTTCAATTTTATATAATTTCTTAAAGTTTCAGGCATTTAAGTCATGGCGTTCTTTTACCAACTTGCAAATGAAATTCAAGAAAATATAATTGACAGGTAATGAATCTCGTACACGACGGTAGATAACATAACGGTTATGTTTACAACGAGGACGCATGGCGGCCTTGCCCCTCCCAACTCACCAGACATGACAGTGTGTGTCGTCTGGTGTTCTACTTTCTGTAGAAGTGACGTAATCATCGTAAATAAAAGAAAATTTCAGTATATGTTTTAATTTTTAAATTTAGTTGTTTAGACTCAAATATTAAGTTTAAAATTTCAACAAAAATAAAGTATTTTACGCACATTAAAACGACAATGGGAAATTGTGCGCGCCAAACCATAATACTTGTTCAAACGATGTTAGTATTTTTAAGCTTTTAGTGCCAAAACAACTGAATTTTTTTTTTAAATCTTGACTGTAATAAGTTACATAAAATCTAGAACTTTGGTTATTTCGTACAAAGAAAGAACTAAAAAATAATATGCATTAAACAGCAACTTAAATTTTTAAACTGCGGAGAACTTCATATGTACTGACATTTTCGCTTATTCAGTGTGGAACACTTGAAATTAAGTGGTAAGACATTTATTAATCGATTGCATTGAAGAAAAAGGAGTTGGTAGCGATTGGCCGTTCTCTCTGTAAACTTCTACTCTGAAGAATGTTAAAACAGTAAATAGGTAAGAGTCTATAGGACACTTTCTTGTTGTTAATTGGTTTTTACAGTTCTTGAAACGCCTCCTAGTCTTCTTGATGTTTCCTATAAAGAGAAATATTTGAGCAACAAATCAGCATTATTTTTGACAAATCTAGACAAAATTTTCCCTTTAACTGCCACATTCTTTGAAGGTCACGTCTTCCAGTTATAATAAACAAATGTTAAAACTGTATTTTTCGTTTTTTTAAAATCATAATAAAGTCACTTAACATGAAAATTAATTTATTTAGACTAGAAAGAGTCTTTCTATATTGTGTTCATCAGAGATAATGAGTAAAGGAAAAAATCAGTCAAATTTAAACGCACTCTATTTACAATAGTGGTAAGAGTAACTATTAGTTGAGAAATACCGAGAACCCCGTTACCAATCCCAAAGGGGTGTTGTGTAGCAACAAAAATTAGAATTTAGGGCTACGGGAGACGGGAGTAGTCCGTGCGACTGTCACCACACTATAAATATAGCTAAAAGATTTTCCAATACTGTATACTCATCTTTAGATTTATTACATATATTATCTTCATTGACCGATATTTAATTTTAAAAAACAATATCCATCATTGGCATGCATCAGAATAAGAAGCATAACTTCTGTAAATTACACTTCTCTGAGAGGGTCCGCTGCACTCTGGAAAAGCCGACAGTCTACGTCGGCAATGAAATGGTCGTTGTGTGACCTACTTTTTCGAAAATAGTACAACGATGAACATAAACACTAACCATAATAATCAAAACAAATTATTAAAGCATGAGTAGTTCTAATATCCTCCGATCGAGTAATACGTAATAAGTTTCTTTCTTTTTTTTTTTAATATATATTAGTCTTGCCATATTCTACCAATACTTCATATAGTCACCTCCAATTAATTTCATCTAATTATATTTAAAATGTAATAAAATCTAGCGACGAATTAATTTGCTAATAGAACTTTGTATTCTTCTTTGACGTTCATCGTAAGAGCACTAAATCAAGAGAGATGTCTAAATAACACGCTTATAAACACTAAAAAATAAATGTTTCGGAATAAGTACTAGATAATTATATGCGCAAATAAATAAGTAACACATACCTTCACTTACAAGCATTACATCCAAACAAAGATCAGTTCTCGGTAATTGCCGAAAATATTTTTCAACTTTTTATAAAGTAGCATATTGTGAAACCAGTTGTAAATTCACAGAAAACTTTTCACTTTTTATCCCTTAAAAACAACACAAAATATGTCGATGCACGTAGATTTATCCAAGTAAACTTGCGAAGTAAACGATAAACTGCACTATGCGAAATGATGCTTTTCGGATAAGCTTAGAACACTTCTGTGCAATGTCTCGTGACAGCAAAATACATTTTTCCTGGATAAACACTAAAAGTTTTAAATAACTCTTCAATAAAACCTGATGAATTTCATTAATACGAACTACCTATATCTGTTTAATAAAGATTACTTATTTACCATCATAATTATGCAAATGAGTAACGAAAAAATCAATGTGCAGAATCCCTCGCGAACTACGTCATCGGAATAGCTTTAAAACGAGCACGTAACCAAAAGCTAACTCTAAATAATGTTAAAAATCTGTTTATTAAGAATTAAACTTTAATTTCTACATTAACATTAACAAACTTCATCAAAGACGAGAGAATATTTTTCCATTGAACAGAAACGTACTCAGCAAAATAATCATTCAAGTAATAAACATCTTATTCTTTGCCAAGGGAGTTTTATTAAAGAAAACTAACGTTTTCGATCTATTTCATAGATCATCCTCAGGTTGAAACATTCGAATTTGGAATAACAAAAAATAGAACACCAAATTCAAATTCTAAGAGATAAATATCGACAACGTAGCAACTAATTAAAATAAAAATTAAAGCGTAAAAATACATAAATGTAAAAATAAATAACATACAACCAGGGCCGTGCGGTAGATTTTCTAAGTATGATGCAAGTCTTCGAAATGCCGCCCCTTATATGTTTTTTTGCCGCCCCTTATATAAATTATTAGTCTTATATAGGCTATAATTCTTATTATTTGGTGTATCTTACCAGGGCCGTGCGGTAGATTTTCTAAGTATGATGCAAGTCTTTGAAATTCT